CTTGAAAAATCATTTTAAAAGTGTTTTAGAAGTAAAAGAATCAACAAAAACAATCCACTTTTCAGAGCAATTGTCAAGATCACCAAGTCGATAGTATTGCTGCATCTGATGGATTGGGGCTGCTATAATATGATATAATCCATAAATTTGATGATTATAAAATGGGAAGAAGATATCATGAATAAATCCTCTAAACTTATTTTGTATCCAATCTCCTCATAAGCAAAAGCAAACAAGAAAGTGGGCAAATGTGCTATTCATATATTACTATGTGCGTGTTCAAGGGTTTGAAGGGTTTTATGACGTATTTATTACGTTATTATATGATTTAATTAGTTAATAGGGTATTAATCAAATTAATTGATCTCTTAGGGTACTGGCCTAGTTTGCCCCTCAATCAACCACAATCAAACCCATAAAATAGAGCACTAAGCCCACGGCAACAACCCAACCATACCCAAAGCTCAATATACTGGCACCACAAGTGACACACAAACACCATCAGCTAAACACCAGCAACATTACACTACCAAGAATAGAGCATAATCGGAGTAGCGGAACTTGTAGACGGTGGAGCAGTCGTTCTCTTCTAATTATAACAACAATTGAAGGGACAAGAGTCGAATCAACCAGGAAAACTTGACCAAACAAGATGTCTGGAAAAAACTTTGATTGGACGAGCCTCCAATCCCTATAGAGCGAAAGAGTTGCCTGGTGATCCCTAGGTTGCAGCACGTCTGATCGTTAACTCCTCATGCCATTTCTATCGTTTCAAGGACCAATGCCTCATTTGCATAGTTACCTATGTAGTGTAGTGTCGTTGCACATTCAACATAGCGTTTGAGCTGGTACAAAACCATTCACCGAATAATGGAAGCAATTTTTAGTTTAAATCAAATCAAACAAAATCCTATATCATATCACTTTAGATAGTATGGAAGTTATTATTCCGTACACCAAAGTATGACAAATTACAATATTATCTAAAATCGCTGAAATTATCAGGAACACCAAACAATTTTTGGTTGCAATAATGCAAGAATTCAACTTTAAAACCTTATCAAAAACTAGATTCATTGATTTGAACTTCTAGAGTAGAAACAGCTTATCAATCATATATGTAAACTTCTGACAAAATTATTAATGTATAGAATGAGTGGGACTAAAAGTTCTTACAAGAGTAATTCCCCCAATGAATTAGCTTATGATTTATAAATTATTTTGTTTATCTCTTTGTGTAACCTAATGAAATTTCTAATCGAATGACACAAGATTGGTATTTTTCGTGTCTCAAAGGATGCGAGTATAGACAGAAAAGAATAAACAGAATCAATGTAATATTAAAAGAAATTATTTTTTAAAAAAATGAATTAGAGCTAAAAATAAGTAAATTCAACCTAAATAAAAAACAAGAATGACATCAAAAAATTTGTTCCCTAAAATCCAACAAATATATGGCATCATTGATAAATAATACAAAAAAATGAGTAGAGTATTGTTCCATGATGATTGCATATCTAACTTTGATTTAATTAGAATTAACTTTGATCAAACACTCACAAATTGGATGGTTAAGATTAATTTTCGAAAAAATCTAAAAAGTGTAAAAGAGAACAATTTTGAAAAGTAAAGTTCTTAGAGGACTAAGGAATTGTTTTCTTCGTGTTTCAGTTTTAGTTTGAGTTTTGAATTTATTTTGAGTTTTGTGTTTTGATTGTCAATTTTGAGATTGCTGATAATGCGTTCTTTTTGTCATTTTGAAATTTTGTTTTCAAAAAAAAAATAAAAAAATTTGAAGTTTTGGCTTGGTTTTAATTGAAAACAACCAAAATGACTTTTTTTTTTTTTTTGCGTTTTTGGTTTTCTTTGTAAATTTTAAACTCATTTTTGGAAATTCGTTTATGAAAATAGGTAAATAAACGTGTTTTCAGTGTTTTCGAAAACTGAAAACTGAAAATGGACTGAAAACAGTAAAAAGAACATACCCTAAGTTATAAAAGCCACTAAGATTCGGAATTCCCTATCTTTATCCATTTTAATTCTCAATTTTTCCAAATTTAACCAAAACACGCTTAGATTAAATCAATGATCTAAGTTATAACAAACTTTCTCAAGTAAAATTAACACTATTTTCACATAAGAAGCTACAATATATAAAGATTTTGAATAGGTAGAAATAGAGACAGATCGAGGATCGGACTACAAATCAGGCTAATATGTAGAAAAAATAAAAATACTAAAAAAATTAACTGGACGGGGACTGAATCTGGCTACAGCCTGACCCGGTCCCCCTAAATATGTCCCTCCATAAGAAGAAAAAAAAAAGGAAAAAACAAGGCATTCAATTTCAATAAAATTTGTATAGGATAGAGAGTTATATGTCTACTCCCTATTCGACTTTAATTTATATGTGCTAAAATTTGCTTAAAACTTATATTAAAGCCACAAATACATTCAAAAGTTGATCAATCATTCAAACATGAGAAATATTAACAAATAATCAACTACAAGTGAATAAAAAAAAAAATTGAATTAAAGCTCCAAAAAAGTTGCATCGATATCCGAACGATATGGATTTAGCCTATCATTCTTAAAAAAAAAAAAAAAAATTTCAATAAAATTTGTATAGGATAGAGAGTTATATGTCTACTCCCTATTCGACTTTAATTTATATGTGCTAAAATTTGCTTAAAACTTATATTAAAGCCACAAATACATTCAAAAGATGATCAATCATTCAAACATGAGAAATATTAACAAATAATCAACTACAAGTGAATAAAAAAAAATTTGAATTAAAGCTCCAAAAAAGTTGCATCGATATCCGAACGATATGGATTTAGCCTATCATTCTTAAAACAAAAAAAACAATTTTTGAATAAAGTACAAGAGTTGGCAAATATATGCCCAGGTTTTTTTTAGATAAAAATCATTTTTTATTTTTGTAGATTTTGATATAAAATGTGTGGTTGAAAGTTATAGATCACAAGAAATATATGGTTAAAATTAATTGTTAATTAAGATTTTAATTCACATTTTTATTGGAACTTGACATTAGAGCTTCAAAATCGTACATCTTGTTGCGTTCAAGTTACCAAATTTTGATCCGACATCTTCAGGTCTGTCTCTCGAGCACGATTGATTTTAAAATTCTTACACATCAGATGGATGCCTCACTTTCTGTTCTTGTACCTCCTTCGACCAAATCTCCTTTTTTAAAACTCCGTGCTAATTCCAATCTCCAAGGCAAGACTATTTGCTCAATAAATTGTCATTTTATCACCTTTTTTCATTACTTATTAAACATCAACATCACCTGATGAAGGGATTTTGTCCTCCGAAACACAAAGAAACCAAAATTAAGTAGAAATTCGACTTGATGGTCTGAGACCAGAGTATAAGTTATACTTTGCTTGCTGATAGCCTTTTAAAGTCGATCGCGTCTTTGACCACTTGCGCCATTGCCTTCCTAGACTAGAATGCCTCGCTCAATAACCAGGAGCCTATCTTCCTAGTCCCTTTGTCTGAGCACAGCTTATTTTCGATTGAATCAATGCATGTATGAACCCCAACAAAATCCCGAAATTCTAGTCTAGAATGTCATTTGAACCCAATTCAATTTCAGGCTAGAAATGACTTCTGTCAAAAGACTTAGCTCACACGTATCATCTCGTGGTGAGATGTTGGGGATTCCAACGTGCCAGTCCAAATACCTGGTGATGATGCTCCTGAAGAACAATACGATCTTCCACCATTACCGCCTTCTCCGATATTTGACGTAAGAACATCACCACGGGATATTGATGAGAAAGAGCCAAATCGTTCACCACCCCCAGGAAACCCCTAATCCAGAAATCGGAAAAATAAAAAACCAGTATCTTACCTCAATGTAGGTCCATGCATGATCAAGTTGTCAACCGTTTTGAGGCTTAAGATTGATGGAGGACTCAATCGGAGCGGCTGGAACTGTTGAAGAGAAACCATCATGTCATTCAAAGAAGCAAAAAAATTATTAATAGAGGAGTACAAAATGAGCCTTATCCTGAACCCCAACCTTAACCCTTCCAACAAGAATCTTGCGAAAATTGAATTGAATGGAGGGACGGCACTGGTTTTCTTGTATCAGAAAAGGCGGGAAGAATCTGATGCATCGACTGAAGGTGTTAATGATCTTACCATTGATTTTTAAAGGTGGCTACCATATGTTGACCATGAAGAGGTGGCCGAGTATGCCAAAAATGGTTGCTCTTATAAGCCAGTGGAAGAATCCAGCGCAAGCAAACGGATTGGAGAAAGGTGATCGGGTTCAGTTTGGGGCTATCGGTGAAATTCGGAATTATGTTTTTGCTGTTAATTATATCAAGAAACCGAAAGGGTATTCTATTCCTGATGCTAACTCAAGCAACAGTAGCAGTTTTGATGACAAAGGCAGTGGAAGGGGTGGCAGTGACAGCGGTGGAAGTGGTGGTGCCGTTATCCTCTACGGGGCATAGAAGACAATATACAGGAACCATTGAGTTTCTTTTGAAGTTTCTCTCGAAACATGCCTGAAGGCTGCAAGTGATGTTTTATTTTGTTTTCTTTTTCTGTGTGCATATTAGCGTAACTTATCCTAAAAAATATAATGATTATATACAGGACTTGACAGTAATAATAATTCTTATGAATTTATACAATAGTAGCTGTATTTTATGGATAATGATACACACCACACCTAGTATCTATTGTTTACAGCTAAAAGACTATCCTGATATCTAAACATAATTCACAATAACTTTCGTCTCTCAAATGCTAGTGTCGGTCCTCTACTCCCAATCTCAACTCTTAGATCAACTGGAATTTAAAAATAGACAGTAACAACCAGATGCACACAATACTTAGCAAACCAAAACAAATCATTTAGTACTCAAAATAAGCATCAGAAACACCACTTTTCTGTAAATAGGACTGTATGTAAGAAGACTAGTTACAATCAGCCCCTAAATATGTTCCTTTCGTTATCAATTTTGAGGGGCAACAACATCCAAATCTGTAACTAGTGATGGCTGTACCTCTGGTTGAACTTGTTGCTGCAGGGGTTGTGGATGATCACCTTGCCATGTCCAAACAATGTCTTCCAATGATGGCCTTATGTCCTGCTTCATCATCTTTTGATATTCCAGCGTGTCTCCATTGGATTTCTTCATCTCAACTAAATGAAAACTTGGAGTAACCTCAAAGATTTCTGCATCTATAGACAAAACTCCCTTCCTGCCTTCCTTTGATCCTTCAAATTTTAACAATCCTCCATCCTTCTTCAACAGTTTCAACTTTAGACGCTTTGCTACTTGCTCTAATTTGGAGATGATGGTCTTGGAAGGTTGCTTAGATGTAAAGCGGGCTTCTTTCTTTTGATCATTTTCCTCGAACAAGCCGGACAAGTCAAAACCAGCTGAAAGGGAGATGATATCGAAGGCATTCAAGTTTGTATGCTTTGCAAATTCTGGTTTCCCAATTGTTGTGCTCGTGTTCTCCACGAAACTGAACATTGTATCAGCATCAACTTTTTCCTCTTTTACATCCATTACTCGAAGCAAAGAATCAGCACTACTTTTTGTAACTTTGGACAGGAAACCCTTGTGAAACCAAGAATTTTCCATGATTTTGGATATGGAAATCCTTGTGTTTGGATTCGGATCCAGTATTTTTGAAATCAGCCTGCGAACATCAGGAGGGATCCAGTTAGGGTATTTGAACTCTGCCTTGCCGATTTTTCTATACATCTCCATCAGATTTGAATCATGGAATGGGAGATATCTAGCCAATAGAACATATAAGATCACCCCACATGACCAGATATCAGCTTTGGCACCATCATAGCCTCTCCTGTTGATCACTTCAGGAGAAACATAGGCAGGTGTCCCACACGTTGTGTGAAGTAAACCGTCCTGCCGCTTGGATTCTGCAAGAGCACTCAATCCAAAATCCGAGACTTTTAGGTTTCCATTTTCATCCAAAAGCAGGTTCTCAGGTTTAAGATCCCTGTGATAAACACCTCTACTATGGCAGAAATCAACTGCACTTATCAGCTGTTGGAAATATTTCCTTGCAACATCTTCTTTCAGCTTCCCCTTGGCCACCTTGTGAAACAGCTCACCACCTTTTATGTATTCCATGACAAAATATATTTTTGTTTTGGTTGCCATAACCTCGTAAAGTTGAACAATATTTGGGTGCCTAACAAGTCTCATTACAGAGATTTCTCGTTTGATTTGATCAATCATCCCGACCTTCAAGATCTTCTCCTTGTCAATTATCTTAATGGCCACACTCATGCCAGTCTTAAGATTTCTTGCATGGTGAACCTTGGCAAAGGTGCCTTGTCCAAGCAATTTCCCCAATTCAAACCTCTGCATTAACACACTTCCTTTATTTTCCATCTCCAAATCTACCATAACAAGTAAAAGCTAATTTTCTATTGCCCCCCGCAAACTGTAGATATTTGTGTCGAGAAATTAATACTCAGGAATGCAGTAACTCAACCATCTTCACAGAGGTCATGATATGAAACAATTTGTCCACTAAAATAATTATCCACACTAGGTAATGTTATCTGTTCTATCTTATCAAGGATAGTGTAGGGAAGATCGTATGGAGCTTCAACCCCATCAACCTCAGAGAAAGACTGTCTATTCTGCAAGCACATTTTTCGGCATTCCCTGCAATTTGTTTCGAAGGAGAGAATACTGAAGAAGATGAGCAAGTAAAAGATTTTTCCACCGGAACAACTACCAAGTGAAGAAAAGGTATAGATTCCAAATTCTTCACTGCCAAATGGATTAGATGTCCACCTGAAGATATGAATATCAAAATATTAATAACACAAAGAAATGAATCTTTACAGATTCCTATAAGCAGGGATGTGTTGAGATCAGAGCAAAATATACGTCCACAGCATATAAATTCAATGCACATAGAGAATATGAGTCAGAAGCATACAATACAATTCAACGGATCTAAAACCTTACAATCAATGATCCTGTAATATCTCTATGCCAGCTAAAAAATGTCTCATGAGCAAGTGATGGCAGCAACATACAATCGTACTGACACTTGAAACTAAAATAAAGAATATCACATTCTCAAAACCTACTGAATTAATTTTTTTTTTAAACTTATTTCTAATCAGAATTAAAAAATAATAATCATCAAACATAAATAAGAAACTCAACAGAGAAATCAGGGCTATAACAGCAGTAGAATGAAAAGAAACTGAGAAACTTATTTCGATAAAAATATATCAAAGAATTTGAATTCAACAAAAAGCAGAACCTTATTTAAACTTAAATAATTATTTGAAATTGAACCCGAAAATTAGGGGGGTCATTCTTGAAACAATTCCATCTTGATCTAAAAACATTATGTTTAGTAACTGAGAAAACCAAACCAAATCACATCAATCTTTTAATGGTTTAACTCCTCGAAATAGAACAATCATAGATCTTACCAAAAAAAATGACAACATTCATTTCAAGACATTAAAAAACAGAGAATTCTTGTTGTCTCAAACCTCCCAGAATCGAACAGCATAGATTTTGCTTTAAACAGAGATTAAATCGCATAAACAGATGCAGGAAAAACCACCAGAATCACATAAATTTACTGAACAAATAAAAAATTTCCACCAATATAGTTACATACGATCGAGATCATGCTAAATATATATATAATCTAAATAGAAATTGAAGCTGAATCTCCGTACCTTGAAAATTTCGAGCTTGTAATTGTAAAATTAAACGCATGTACAGTGTATGTATAGATCTGTCCCAGGTTGAAGCTAAACGGAGAGGAGCAATAGGGTTTTTATACCATTTTCGTGTCGACAGCGTTGAAGTGCCTGCCACCTGTATTCTATAATTCTATTAATATTAGGTAATTATCTATTATTTATTTTTGTGAAAAATGAATTTTACAATCATTAATTATAAATTAATTTAATTAAGAAACTTACAACCGGGGGAGATAATATCACGACCAAATTGTTCAAATTGATTAATTTATTTCCATGCTTCCGTTAATTTAACTTATTCGTTTTCGTGTATAGTTGGCTGTTCGATTTTAATATTATCTTTTTCAACTGTCCTTATTCGTTTTCATGTACAGTAGGATGTTCGGTTTTAATATTTTTTTTTTTCAATTGTTTGTTTGATGTAAATTTTAATATATGAAATTGATAAAATTAACTTATTCGGTTTAACGTATAATCGGAAGTTCAGTTTTAATTTTTTTTTTTTTTAACTGTCTGTTTGATGTAGATTTTTAATATATGAAATTAATAAAATTGGATGAATTGCATAAAATATATATTTAAAAATGAAATTTGATCAATTTGATTAGCTTTTTAAAAGTGTGTGTGCAATTAGTGTGTGTTGATTTTGCTGCTAATGGATTGCTGCTTGGCTGTCAAGCATCATTACAAGAATATTTTGAAATGGGAACTCTAATAAATATTTTTCAATTTCATCTTAGTAATTGATATGATTTTCAATAAAGAATTGTTGGATATTTAGGTTGAGCCTTTACCAAAAAATTCCAAAAAAAGTTAAAAATAAACGCGTTTTCAATTATTACTTCTTCTTTTTTCTCGAGTTTGGCGAGTGGTTAATTTCCAACTTAGCCCTGATTTGATAGGGATTAAAATAAGATTTTTAGTAGATTTTGATTAAAAAAAAATGATAAAATGTGTTGTTAAAATTAATTATTATTTTTTACTTAAATTAAAATCCTAATTTCAAATACTCATTCTTCTTTCTATCTTATTTGATTATCCATATTATTTTCTAACAAGAATTTATGTTTTCTTTCATCTTTGGTAATGTTCCGTGTTCTAGTCTTCCCCGATCCAAACATGTTTTTATAGTTTTTCAAAATATGGGGGGGCGGTGTTTGAGTCCCATTATTTTTAAGAATATATTTTGAAATAGTAAATTATTGAAGAATGTGTAGTTAAAAAAGAAGGATTTTTTTTATTTGCGTATAATATTATTCTAATGAAGAATGTGTCGTTAAAAAGAAGAGAGAGAAAATATATTTTTTTTTCGTTCAAATATGATTTTATTATTATTATCATTTCTTGTGAAAGTGTTTAATTTTGGTCAGCCAGGTTGCTGTTGTGTCTGTTGTTAATAGGTCTATTCGAAAGCACCTGCCAATTGTTCTTCAATGTCACTGTCCAATAGGAGAAGTACACGTGATTTAAGAATAAGTTGTTTGTGGGGTCCATCCATCTGCTTTGCAACAGCCAACAGGAGTCAAACCTAGTTTCTACATCAATCGCACGTGTCGTTTGATGATTGGTTGAATCGTGCATTGCAATCTCTTGCTCCTCTTTGGTCTCTCCAAATTAAGCCTAATGTACGGAACCTCTACACCCTCTCACATGAGGTGGGTCCCACATGATTGGTTAAATCGTGCATTGCAGTCTCTTCGAATAGCTAAATGTATAGAACCTCTACACCCTCTCACATAATATGGTCCCACGGGGGACCCACCTCAATAAAGAAAGTAAAAGAAACTACCGACCTTTATGTGTGAGTTATCGGTGGTTTCACCACTCCGTGTTTTATGATTCTAGCACTATGTGCAACCCACACTTCTCGAAAATTCATTTTTTCGATACTCATTTTCAATTACATATTCTCCTATAAAATAATATTAGATATAAATCGAAAAATGTTTCTCATTTTTTAATCACACAATCACCAACAACTACTATTCAAAAATGCATTCGTATCAACTTCACATTCCAGATCTCCCTCCAGGTTTTATTTTTGTTTTTATCAGCTTCAAAATTCAAAAAATAATAATAAAACGACGTCTTTGATGGTCAATTTTAAACGATTTTTTAACACTTTCAAATTAAAACGTTTTAAACAGTTTTTAAAATTTTTAAATAAAATCAAACCATTTCATTATTCAAGTCAAACTATTTTTTGCAATTTGGTTCCTAATCATGATTGTATAGTGAAATAAAATAATATCTTTCAAACATGAGGACCACAATCATGATTTGGTTTCTAACCATTTCTATCTATGGAAACCTAAATCACGAGGACCAAAATCAATGGTTTCAAAATTACAAATTTGATTCAATTTGGAGGGTTGGAGATTATTTTTTTTCACCGCTACGATGTCTAATAAGGTGAAATATATAATATTAACAAGGAAATTGGCGCAAATAGTCACTAAATCTTTGTCCGTCGTGCTTTTTTTTGTCCAAACATTTAAATTTTGGTGTAAATGATCCTAAACCTTTGAATTCTTGACACAATTGCTCCTTGATCGATTCTGTAAAAAAAAATAAACCGTTAGTTTGGTGCATGGGCTATACTTTCTTTTCAGGATAAATTGCATATGTAGTCCCAACTTTGGCAATAGTAGCAATCATCTACATTTACTGTCATCAATAATCAACGACTTATAGATTAAGCCTTAATCGAAGAAAATTCAAGATCCAGAACGATAATTTCTATCAAAAAGGTCGAAAGATATTTATAATCGTTTTGATCTTCAAACTTTCTTTGTCATGCATAGTAAATCTTATCTCAATGGATAAGTTGTAACACTGTGACAATGCACTTTTGTATTTTGCAAAATTATTCGAGTCCATCTTCTCATAATTTTCTCTATCGTTTAAGCGCGATCCCATCTTTGACTGTAAAATATCTTTGTGCAACGTTTGGCCTATTTGAAAATTACAACGTGTCGATTAAATATATTAATTGCAGTATAAATAATCCCAGTTCAAATAGTCAATTTTTTATATAATTTTTAATTAGTTTTAGGATTTCACCAAATAAAATGTTTTTATATTATTTCCAAGAGAAGATGACTCGTTGAAACCAAATTGTCAATTCAACTTCACATTCTGTTCTACTAATAACCTTTTTTTTGAAAAAATCGTGAGCTAACAATACAAATTACATCTTATCATTTATCGGAATAGAAGAAAAAAAAATATGTCACAAAATACATATTTCAACATTTTCTTAGTCTACTGGAAATATGTTATCAAATAACACCCAATATCTAGCATAATAGTATCCAATATTCCAATATTACTACTTGGAATTTGCAAAGTTGCTACTTGCTTGATTGGGTTATTGGATCAGGTAAAATAAGTTGTAGAAAATAAAAACCTTATAAAAAGTACAAATTTGGATCTAGAGTCGGGTACCCACAATTTCAGTTCCAGTTCAAGAACCAAGTAGGGGTGGGCAATGGGTCGAGTCGGGGCCGATTTTCACCCAAAACCGACCAGACCCGATACCGGGTTTGGGCTATTTCCTAAACCGACCCGGTCCGACCCGAGACGGTTCGGGTCGGGCCGGGTGAGCCATGGAAACTGGATCTTAATGCTATAATCTCATCCTCCTTCAAAATGAACAATTTCCATAAATTATGGGATGAAATAATCTAGATTCAGTCAATGAAGGGCAGCAACCAGATCAAAATATTACTAAATGCCCAAATCCAAATGAAGCTAAAATTACTAAAACTTCCGGGAAAAAAAAAAATACCCTCAAGAGTTGAAAACACATTTCCATATATAAAAATAAAAGAAACACAAAGAATTTGATTCTTTAATCAAAACTAAAATCTGCAGATCTCCGACTCATGTATATGTGTAAATTACAGGTTTACCATTGAAAATGCAAAGTGAAAAAATGAAAAAAATATTCCTCAATCTTGCCTTTCTGATGTGGTGAATTTCCTTAGATATTCTTCCACCTTGGGTTTGGAATCGACAGTGTTGGCGATAGAGGAAGCTGTGGAAACCCGATTGAGTTGTAGGCAGAGTTGGAAATGATAGTGGTGAGGCACTGAGGCAGTAGAAGAAGACGTTTGATGCAAATGGCAGGGTTTTGTATTTGGGTGATGTTATGTGTACATAATTTTTTTACTTAATCTTTTACCTATACTTATAATAGAGTGTGTGGACCACATTTTTGGGAGTTTTTTAATTCACGAGGGCCTCACGCACATGTGAGATGATGTAACATTTTTGGTAAGAAAAATTATGTACAAATAGTTTTATCCTTTGTATTTGGGTTGGTTCAATTTAAGCGGGTTTGAACCCGAACCCATTTGGCCCAAATAATTTTATAATTTTTTAGAACCCGAACCAACCCTTTTTTATTATAATTATGTACAAATAATTTTGGGAAAAGTTTATACCTCAGGTATTTAGTTTGACATTTTAAAAAATCAGGTGTTAAACTTTAAAATTGTGAAAATCAGGTTTCTACTTTTTATTAATTAATTAAATATTTAATTGTGTAATTTGATAGCGTGTATCTTATTAATTAGTTAAAAATTAATTTCAGGTCACAGCTTATCAAATTAATTGGCCTCAGATTATTTTGAGGTCACAGATGAAAAAATTTCAGGTCACAGCTTATCAAATGAATTGGCCTCGGATTATTTTGAGGTCACAGATGAAAAAATTTCAGGTCACAGCTTATCAAATTAATTGGTCTCGGATTATTTCGAGGTCACAGATGAAAAAATCTATAGGTCACAGTTAACTTCGTT